CACCGGCTCTCTGGCGCACCAATCCACCCTTACAATTGCCTGGTTTAGTTCCCAGCATCGACCTCGACCCACATCACGTGGGAATTTGTCTCGGCGACGATCTCCTCATTCACGCGCCAACTATCGGAGTGAAAAAGGTTAAGAGGTCAAATTTTAAAGTACAAAGAGTACGATAGCTGTTTTTATTGTACTTTTTCGAAGATCTGGATGTCACAAAGGTTTAGGAAACGATCAAAGAGGCACTAAGTCGATCAAAACCTGAAGCCTATGAGATTTGGCGTTTCCGCGATGGTACGATTGACGGGAAGGGTTTGGTGGGTTCAAGAAGCGTACTGTAGCTGTACTGTAGCGTACTGTACTAGAGTACTGTAATCAGAATTCTAGGAACGAGCTCTCTCATTCGCTGAATCGAAAGCCGGCTGCGAGTACAATGATATTTTCTCGCCAAATTTCCGCAATTCAAAGGTACGGTAGCTAGCTAATTAACAGCTTCGTAGCTAATTTCGAATTCGTTTTTTCAATTTTAAGTTTTAATTCAGTTTTTTTGTTGACTTTCAGTTGACTTTCTCTAAAAGAGAATCGAACTTGAGCAAAAATAGCCCCAGATCGTTTTGCATGCAAGCCTCTTATCCACTACACCATCCGGCCACCCTAGTGACCATTTTGAAAACCTGTTTAAATCCATTTGCCTCAAAATTTTCGCATTTTTTTCTTATAACTTTAAGCACCTATAACTTTTTATAGAAAAACGCCTTTCAAAAACGAAAAGCTGATTCGGAATCAGCGTGAGATTCTGCGTCGGATGGTGTATCGCTCATTTCATTTGGTCCAATCCTACCGCTTCCCTATGAGGTTGAACCTAGCCTACCCTAGCCTACCCTAGATTTAGCCCTAGCCTGGCCCCATCAATAACAAATCTTACATGATATCCAATTAAGAAAAACCCAAAGTTCCATTAAAATCTGTCCACTCTGAAAAAAGTTATTTGGGTGAACCTATTCCAAAAACCAAAAACAAAGAAATGAAAAATCTGATTAATCCCAATTCTTACATGATATCCAACTAAGAAAAAGCCAAAAGATCAAAAAGTTTCCTTTATCTAAAGATGAGAAAAAGAGCCAGTCCTGTAGCCGACTAAAAGTGCCTTCTCTAAAATTTGTGATATCAAAAATCTGTCTTTGCCAAATTTTAAGTTGACACCCAACTAAGGTATAGCCAAAAGATCAAAAGCTTTGCTCCTTCAAGGAACGAGAAAAGTAAGCAGTCCTGTCACCGACTAAAAATGCCTTCTTGAAAATTAGGCATATCAAAAATTTGTTTTTCCCAAATTTTAAGCTGACATCCAACTAAGATATAGCTGAAAGATCAAAAAGTTTCCTTTATCTAGAAATAAGAAAAAGAGCCAGTCCTGTAACCTACCAAAAACCCGCTAGTAAATCTATTTAAATAACGAAGTTTTCGAGCTCTCCATGGTCGATAACCCTTAAACGACACCAATCACAGAGGTGGTAGCTGAAAAATTGTGGCAAGCACTTTTTAAGTTCGACATCGTACTGTAGTTGACCTAAAAGTGCCTTCTCGAAAATTAGCGTTATCAAAAATCTGTCTTTGCCAAATTTTAAGCTGATATCCAACTAAGGTATAACCAAAAGATCAAAAAGTTTGCTTTATCTAGAGTCGAGAAAAAGATCCAGTCCTGTAACCGACGATCCACGGGTAACATTAAAATCGATTGTCAAAAAATCTGAACAATCCCAATTTTTACATGATATCCAACTAAGAAGAATTCAAAGTTTCATCAAAATCTGTCTAGCCAGAAACAGGTTATAAGGGTGAACAGCTTTCAGGCTATCACCCAGCTCTGTTCTTGTGGTGACAGGGCTGTACTGAGGCAAATCGAGTATTAAAGGTTGCTTTAGCTGTCTCGATCTACTGTAGCTTCTGGTAGCTTCTGGTATATTCAAATTCTAGGGCCAGGAGTCCTACTACTGTAGTCAACTCGTCGCTGAATCGTTTAAAGCCGATTTTCCCTGTGAACCGATGAATTTCCGTGGAAAAAATGGAGATTTTCTACAATATTGGGTTGAATATTTTGCAAAAAGGCATCAAGAAATCCCCCAGGATCAACCAGGAAGTCATCCGGCAAAAATCAGAAAAGCCGAGTGTCTGGAAAGGTGAGTCTGGAAGCTGGGGGTACTGTAGGCCTCCTTTTACCGTAATCTGTTTGCTGTAGTCGTTCAGAGCTACCGTAATCCGTTAAATATTCAAAAATCAAACTTCCAGGGTCACTCGAGTCGATTTACGCGATTCTGCGAGGCTTTAAACAAAGATTTCATTGATATCGAATAAATTGATTCAAACTTGTGCCTAAATATCAATGTGACTTCCAGAAAAGACAATAGTAACTTTGAGAATTGAATTGCTTAATGTTTTCCTTGGAAAATTCGCCCAGTCCTGTACTTTTTGGTGTACTTTGTGCTTTAAGGTAAACGCTTGCTCCTGGTGCACCACCATGAAGCTTAAACATCAATGTGACTTCCAGAAAAGACAATAGTAACTTTGAGATTTGAATTGCATAATGTTTTTCTTGAAAAATTCGCCCAGTCCTGTACTTTTTGGTGTACTTTGTGCTTCCAGATAAACGCTTGCTCCTAGGGCAAAAAAAATGTAGAAAGCTTCAGATAAGAATATTTAATGATATTTATCAACATTTCTGAATAGCTCAATGGTTAGTGATACCCAATATGATCTAAAATTGCTGGAATCTCGATTTTCTTATTATGAAAACCTAGTGTGACATCCAGATCGTCCATTTTTGGCTTTAAACAATCGGTTTAATTACCCAATTATGATTGTTTCTTGTTGGTTCCGATCCAGTACCTACCCCTTACCTAGAATTGCTGGAATCTCGATTTTCTTATTATGAAACAATGGGGTGACATCCAGATCGCCCATTTTTGACTTTAAACAATCGGATTATTGGACAAAGTTTATCAGGGAATACCCAGCTACCGTCGGTTTAGTTAAAATTTGTCAAAATTGTGTAAATGCTGATTCTATGATTTTGAGACACTAGTGTGACATCCAGCTTGGCCATTTTTGACTTTAAACAATCGGATTATCGTATAAAGTTTACCAGGGAATACCCAGCTCCCATCCGGCTCCTTACCAAAGTGCCCAAGTTGCGTAAATGATGATTCTATGATTTCGAGAACCCAGTGTGACATCCAGATCGTCCATTTTTCGCTTTAAACAATTGGTTTAATTACCCAATTCCGATCGTTCCTGGTAGGTTCCGATCCAGTACCTATCCCCACACCTAAAATTGCTTGAATCTCGACTTTCTTATTATGAAAATCTAGTGTGACATCCAGCTTGTAACATCCAGCTCAAAAATCCCCCATAAATCTTGCCGAGAATTTTAAAATGAAGCTTGAAATTTTGTTTTTTTCTGTCACTCGTTTTCCCAGTTTTTTAGCGACTGAGAAAAAGTTTCTTATCAAAAATTTTTCGCTTTTTTTCTCACCTACCCATTTTAGAGGTTTTTTTCGGGTGCTAAAAGCCGTAATTAAAATGTTTTTTTCAAAAAAAATGACTCATCAATTTGAAAAATTTGAAAAATTTGAAAGAAAAAAAAATGGATTTTCTGATGTAATCTTTTTAAATTTGAAGTATTTTTGTCTCTTTTTTTGCCATTTTTTGCCATTTTTATCATCTTTTTAACGTTTAAAATGCAAAAAAAAACCCGTAAAATTCGAGTTTTTTTGAAGTTTTTCAAATAATTTTCCTCAAAATCCCTGTAATTTTTTTTTGATTTTTCGCCAAATTTTTTCAATTTTGTCGATTTTTTTCACAAAAATCTCCGGGTTTTCGCGTTTTCGCGGAAAATTGAGAGGAAATGGGAAAAGAGAGAAAAGATTTGACGGTTTTTCCCTAAAATAGTTCTCTCAATTAGAAAACACATCGATTTTCAGCCCGCGAAATTGACCTTTACCCAATTTTTTTTGCCAAAATGCCTAAATCGCCATTTTAGCTTTTTGAAAACCTGTTGTGACATCCAGATTGGCCATTCCGTGCTTGAGACAGCCTCTTTGCTCTAGAATAGGCACAGATTTCAATCAGCGCTCTTCCGGTTCAATTACCCAATAAGGACAAAATGCTTAAATCAAAATTTTATCCTTTTGGAAACCTACTGTGACATCCAACTTGGCCATTCCGTGCTTGAGACAGGCACTTTCCTCCAGTATATCCAGAGATTTCGGTCAGCCACTGACCGGTTCAGTTACCCAAATGCCGGAATCGCCTAAATCGCCTCAATCAAAATTTTTTCTTTCTGAAAACCTGTTGTGACATCCAGATTGGCCATTCCGTGCTTGAGACAGCCTCTTTGCTCTAGAATAGGCACAGATTTCAATCAGCGCTCTTCCGGTTCAATTACCCAATAAGGACAAAATGCTTAAATCAAAATTTTATCTTTTTGGAAACCTATTGTGACTTCCAACTTGGCCATTCCGTGCTTGAGACAATTGCTTTCCTCCAGAATATGCACAAATTTCAGTCAGCCCCTGACCGGTTCAATTACCCAATAGGCCAAAGTGCCTAAATCGAAATTCTTTCTTTTTGAAAATCTACTGTGACATCCAGATTGGCCATTCTGTGCTTGAGACAGGCACTTTCCTCCAGAATATCCACAGATTTCGGTCAGCCACTGACCGGTTCAATTATCAATAGGCCCAAAATGCCAAAATCCCAATTTTATCTTTTTGAAAACCTACTGTGACATCCAGTTTGGCCATTCAATACTTGAAACAATCATTTTTCTCCAGAATACGCACAGATTTCAGTCAGCCCCTGACCCGGTTCAGTTACCCAAAAGCCAAAAAGGCCTAGATCGGAATCGTATCTTCTCCAAAACCTGTTGTGACATCCAGCTTGGCCACTCCCGCCTTTAAACAATCACTTTCCTTCAGAATATGCACACTATTCAGGGCAACAACAAAATGGGCAATTTTTCTACGATATTTATTCTTTTCTTTCTGATATTTGCCACAAAAGCAACGGATGGGGAGATTTCCGACGAATTGGAGTAAGGTATTCTTCACCAGATAAATCACAGCTCGATTACAGTGATTTGATGCAAAATAAACTCTACAATCCACTCCGGGAGTCGATCATACAGGAGAGAAAGGATTTTCAGAAATACAAGGAGAACGATGTGGAAACGACGGAGACACCCGAGCACAAGGATCCCTTTTGGATTACGGTAAGTGAAGCAGATGGAGGGTTACGGTAGAGGTACAGTAGGTGCGTCACCCAGGCCTAAAATCGCCTAGATTTCGATTTTCTCATTATGAAAACTTAGTGTGACATCCAGATCGTCCATTTTTGACTTTAAACTATCGGATTATCGTACAAGGTTTGCCAGGGAATACTCAGCTACCATCCGGTTCCTTACCAAAGTGCCCAAGTTGCGTAAATGATGATTCTATGATTTCGAAACAATAGGGTGACATCCAGCTTGGCCATTTGGACCTTTAAACAACCGGATTATCGTACAAAGTTTATTAGGAAATACCCAGCTACCATCCGGTTCCTTACCAAAGTGTCTAAATTGCGTAAATTATGATTCTATGATTCAGAAACAATAGGGTGACATCCAGATCGTCCATTTTTGACTTTAAACAATCGGATTATCGTACAAATTATTTCAAAAAATACCCAGCTACCATCCGGCTCCTTACCAAAGTTCCCAAGTTGATTTTGCTGATTCTATGATTTAGAAAACCTTGTTGTGACATCCAGATTGGCCATTTTTGGACTTTAAACAACTGGTTTAATTACCCAATTATGGCTATTTCTTGTTGATTCCAATTCCAGTCTTTCCTTTTCAGTTAATCATCGCTGGAATCGTTTCCCTCTTTCTCGTCCCATTGTCGATCATCGCGGTGGTGATATTCTGCGGGAAACGGCTAAGAATGAAGCTGCAAACGATACAGCAAGGGTAAATCAGCAGACTGTAATCCGAATTTTTGTCAATTTAGAAAAGAGGAATCGGAAAAGACGAAATCTTCAACATATTCTCCGTTACCAATTTCAAGCGCCCGATCACAGTCAAATCAACACGACAGGAGTACGGTGGATAGCGGGGGATCGAGGTGAGGAAGGGTTTGACCTGGCTTACAATAGATTAAGGGGTACGGTAGGTTCACTTACTCAATAGTGTTTAAATCTCGGTTTTCTGATTTCGAGAACCCAGTGTGACATCCAGATCGGCCATTTTTCGCTTTAAACAATCACTTTCCTCCAGAATTTGCACCAATTTCGGTCAGCCACTGACCGGTTCAGTTACCCAATAGGCCAAAATGCTTAAATCGTGATTTTCTCTTTTTGAGAACCTACTGTGACCTCCAGATTGGCCATTCCGTGCTTTAAAAGAATCACTTTGTTCCAGAATATTCACAGATTTCGGTCAGCCACTGACCGGTTCAGTTACCCAATAAGGTCAAAATGCTTAAATCGTGATTTTCTCTTTTTGAGAACCTACTGTGACCTCCAGATTGGCCATTCCGTGCTTTAAAAGATCACTTTGTTCCAGAATATTCACAGATTTCGGTCAGCCACTGACCGGTTCAGTTACCCAATAAGGTCAAAATGCTTAAATCGTGATTTTCTCTTTTTGAGAACCTACTGTGACCTCCAGATTGGCCATTCCGTGCTTTAAAAGAATCACTTTGTTCCAGAATATTCACAGATTTCGGTCAGCCATTGGCCGGCTCAGTTACCCAAGTGCTAAAAATGCCTAAATCACAGTTTTATCTTTTTCAAAACCTACTGTGACATCCAAATCGGCCATTTTTCGCTTTAAACAATTGGTTTAATCATCGAATTATAATATTTGTTGCCGGTTCCGATTCCAGTACCTATCCCTTACCTAAAATTGTCTGAATTTCGATTTTATGCCTTGAGAACCTAGTGTGACATCCAGATTGTCTACTTTTAGCTTTAGACAACCGGTTTAATTACCCAATTATGATCGTTTGTTGTTGGTTTCGATTTAGTCTCTCCCTTTTAGCTAATGATCGCCGTACTTTAGCCTTTCCAGGGTAGAGTAACCTAGTAACGTCTAGCCTGGTAGCCTATCTATAGATCTATATTTATAGATCGATTTCTAGACTCGAAAGACCATCGGTGGTGGACGTGATCGAACTCGGGAATTTCGATCCACAAGAGGCGGCGAATCGGAAACCATTGGATCAGCGAATCGACGAAATCACGTATGATCCGAAATTCGAGTTGGACATGGTCAATTTGCAGCTCGGCACAATTGTAAGCTTTATTGAGTAGCAGATGAATGATCACTGATTTTCAGCTTGGCAAGGGCCATTTCGGGAAAGTTTGCATTGGCTGGTTGCACCGAGCAAAGAGATTAGCTTTCGAGGACAGTTTCAGTCAAGAGTCCAAGATCCCAGTGGCGGTAAAAGTAAGTAAAGCTGGCACAGTTCTTTCTCTAGTAAAACGATTATCCAAAACATTAGCTGAAACCATTGACAACACTGACATCCAGATCGTCCACTTTGACCTTTAAAGGACGGGATTGTCGTACAAAGTTTATCAGGGAATACCCAGCTATTGCCGGTTTAGTTACCCAAGTGCCCAAGTTGCGCAAATAATGATTCTATAATTTTGAAACACTAGAGTGACATCCAGATTGTCCATTTTTGGCTTTAAACAATCGGATTATCGTATAAAGTTTATCAGGGAATACCCAGCTACCGCCCGGCTCCTTACCAAAGTGCCCAAGTTGCGTAAATGATAATTCTATGATTTTGAGAACCTAGTGTGACATCCAGCTTGGTCATTCCTCAACGTCCATAGTTTCGTTTTCATCTTCTCCTTCTTCCGTGTCGACGTTAAAATGCTCCCGACTTTCTTCCGTCGAGCTCATTTTCTCGTCGCATTCGAAACAGCTTTAATTCGTCAACAACCACAACAACAACTCGTCCGCAACAGCTCATCCACAACAACTCGTCCGCAACAACACATTTCAAAACATCGTACCTGAAAATTATAAAATTAATAATTGCAAAAAATTAGATTCGACAAAAAAAAAGATCTAATTGATAAACATTATTTACATTGCATAAACGTGATTTGTAAATTTGCGTCGGTGAGTCAATAAGGACTTTATTAGAGGGGACTCTATTAGAGGAAAGCTATTAGATGGGGTTCAATTAAAGGAGTCTAACGATCTAGCAAAAATTCGAACAACCGTAGCACACTGAAATTGAAATTGAGATGCCCCTCGATCCCTATGACGAAGATCAAGTCGATATGCTGTACGCGGAGGTGAAAGTGATGACGAATATCCCGTTGAATCCGAACGTTTTGACATTGATTGGCGCCGTGACCCGGGGTGGAAGGTTGATGAGAAAAGAAATCAGAAATCGATTAGTATTGTGCTTTACGTCTAGCTACAGTCTAGCTACGTCTAGCTACGTACTAGCTACAGTACTTTACGTCTAGTAACGTCTAGTAAAGTGCTGTAGCTAGTAAAGTGCTAGCTATCATTATTTTAGAGGCATGTACATGGTGCTCGAGAAATGCGAGTTCAATCTATTGGATCTATTGCATAAACACGGAGAACCTTTCTATGATGAACTTGTCACAACGGTAAGTTGCCAGTCTGCCACATCGCCGCAACCGCTGCTCCGGTTCAATTACCCAATAAGGTCAAAATGCTTAAATCGCCTAAATCGCAATTTTATCTTTTTGAAAACCTGATGTGACATCCAGCTTAGCCATTCCTTGCTTTAAACAATCACTTTCCTTCAGAATATGCACAAATTTCAGTCAGCCACTGACCGGTTCAATTACTCAATAGGCCAAAATGCTTAAATCGTGATTTTCTCTTTTTGAAAACCTATTGTGACATCCAGATTGGCCATTCCTTTTTTGGGAAAGGCACTTTGCTCCAGAATAGGCACAAATTTCAGTCAGCTACTGACCGGTGCCGTTACCCAAGTGCTAAAAATGCCTAAATCGCAATTTTATCTTTTTGAAAATCTACCGTGACATCCAACTTAGCCATTCCTCGTTTGAAACAATGGCTTTCCTCCAGAATATGCACAAATTTCAGTCAGCCCCTCACCGGTTCAGTTACCCAAATGCTAAAAATGCCTAAATCGCAATTTTATCTTTTTGAAAATCTACTGTGATATCCAAATTAGCCATTCCATTTATCGAAACCTTTCAGGAACCCCCACCAACCGACGCAGAATCCTACGTGGCAAATGATCCGGATCACTTCTACGCGGTGAGTACTGTAAGGAGTACTGTAAAAGTATTGAATCAAAGCCTACAGTACTACTGTAAGCTAAGTACTGAGTGATCGAAAGGATACTGTAGGCCAGGGCTGACTCTAGACAAGTCCAAATTTTCAGGTCAGTCCATATCGTCCATTTCCATGCCTGAAAAGGTTCAGTTCGTTTCCAGTTCAGTTTTTATTTACACAATCTGCTTTGTGCGTTCCAGAATAGGCAAATTATTGTTTAAAATTTCAGTTGGTACCCCCAGAATGGTTTAAAAGCCACCAACTTGAACTCGTACAGAGTACAGTGATGTACTTTGCGCTCTGGTAGCGTCAAGCGTCTAGTGCACTGAATTTGGCATCTTTTTGACATATGTGGTGTAAAAAGGAGTTATTTCTCTGAAAATGACAAACCCAATGCACCAGATGGCGTGCGTTTAAGTGGAAGCACAAAGTACCCAACCGCGAAACAGGACTGGGTGAATTTTTCACGGAAAACCTGAACAAATTCAATTCTCCAAGTTACTATTGTGCTTTCTGGAGGGCACACTGATGCTTAAGCTTTAAAATGGTACACCAGAAGCGCGCGTTTATTTGAAAGCACAAAGTACACCAAAAATGACAGGACTGGGCGAATTTCTCTGGGAAAGCCTTATCCAATTCAATTTTTCAAGTTACTATTGTGCTTTCTGGAGGGCACATTGATATTTAGACTTCAAACAGGTGTGCTAGAAGCGCGCGTTTATGTGAAAGCACAAAGTACATCAAAAAGTACAGGACTGGGCGAATTTTTCCCGGAAAACGTTATGTAATTTAATTCTCAAAGTCACTACTGTCTTTTCTGGAAGTCACATTGATGTTTAAGCTTCAAGGTGGTGCACCAGGAGCAAGCGTTTATGTGAAAGCACAAAGTACATCAAAAAGTACAGGACTGGGCGAATTTTTCCGGGAAAACGTTTTCCAAATCGTTTATTCTGGGTAATATTGTGCTTCCTGGTATACAACTTAATACTCAGTGCACTAGAGAACGCACGTTTACGCGGGAGCACAAAGTGCATAACTCGAGTTACAGGACTGGGCGATTTTTTCACGAAAAACCTTATCCAATTCAATTCTCTATAGTCTTATCGTAGTTTATGGAACTCACAGGAATATTTAAAGCCAATAAAATTACCGTAAGACGTCTTTTCAAAAACTCGTACTTGCTAATAGAGAAAAATATGATTTTTGCCAAAAAATTTTTTGGGGGAAAAAATTGGATTACTGTAATAGGGTACTGTAGCTTTGCTTTAGGGTTACTGTAGCTAATTTGATTCTTAAGAGTTTAGGCTGAAAAGGGGAACCCAATCGAAATGCCGACAAATCGCCCAAACGCCATTTCAACAACAAAATTGTTATCTTTTGGATATCAAGTGGCTAAAGGAATGGAGTTTTTAAGCAATATACCGGTCTGTTTTTAAGCTCTTTTTTCATTCATTCAATCATTCCCAGTGTCTCCATCGAGATCTAGCTGCGAGAAATGTGATGATTACTGGCGATCACCTCGCTAGAGTCTCCGATTTTGGATTGGCGAGGAAAAATGATAAAGATTATTACAGGTATGGTTTTTAAGAATGGAAATCCCCGAGCTGGATGTCACACTTTCGATTTTTGATCTTTGTTTAGGATTAGGTTGAGACTAAGAGATTTCAGATCAAACCAGAATCTAGAGCTATGGAAAAGTCAGGGTTTTAGCTGAATCCAACCAAGTTCTTTGTGCTTTTTGTTCATCCTGGATGTCACACAACCCAATAAAGCCTAAACACACCCTTTCTGGCGCACTAGAAGAATTTCTTTTTGAATGATGGAGTTCAAGAGGTTTTAGTCGTTTCTAAACCGAAAACATCTGAATTTTTTGACTGAATCTTTAATCCTGGATGTCACACAACCCAATAAAGCCTAAACACACCCTTTCTGGCGCACTAGAAGAATTTCTTTTTGAATGATGGAGTTCAAGAGGTTTTAGTCGTTTCTAAACCGAAAGCATCTGAATTTTTTGACTGAATCTTTAATCCTGGAAGTCACACAACCCAATAAAGCTAAAAAAAAGACCTCATCTTGTGAATTTCATTTCCAGAGTGAAAAAGAGCGTCGAGGTGCCGCGACCGATTCGTTGGATGAGTCGCGAGGCGATCAATGACGCCTACTTCTCGAGAGCGGTCGGTGAAGTCCAGACATTCATTACAGTAATCCTTACAGTCTGACGTCTGGTCTTACGGTATCGTTTTGTACGAAATGTTCTCGATCGGCGGCCTACCGTATCCAGCTTGGAGTGACGATGAAGTGGCCATGAATATACAAAGAGGACAACGGAATACAAGGCCGATGCGATGCCACAAGGAATTGTGGGTTTTGAAAGCAAAAAAAGCAAAAAACGCAATTTTTGATGGCTAGAGTTCAGGACTGGAGCTTTTTACAAAAATCTATGCCCAGAGAAGCAAAATTATTCAGATAGTTGTAGGATCTGGATGTCAGAAGAGCCAAAAATTTGAATAGATTAGCGAAATACTTAAGTGTCCGGGTGGCCGAGTGGTTAGCGCGCCAGGCTTCCAGTCTGAGGGTCCTGGTTCGAGTCCGCTCGGGGCAAAAGCCACCTTTTTTCGATTTTAATCACTCCAAAACCAAGTGTGACATCCAGAATTAGCATTTAATTACTAGCCTTACCCTGATCTTGCTCAGGATCTGGTCCAGGAACTTTTGATGGGCCCGGCTAATTCAGAGCCAGGTCCGAAGCTGGTCCGAGGCTGGTCCATAGCAAGAGCATAACCAATTCCCACTTTACAAGCCGCCATAATGCAATTAACTGCAAAATGCTAGAAGTTTCAGTTTAAATCTTTTCGAAATGCAATTTTTGATAGCTAGAGTTCAGGACTGGAGCTTTTTACAAAAATCTATTGCTAGATAAGCAAAATTATCAAGAGAATTGTAGGATCTGGATGTCAGAAGAGACAAAAATTTGAATAGATTAGCGAAATACTTAAGTGTCCAAGTGGCCGAGTGGTTAGCACGCTAGACTCCAAGTCTGAGGGTCCTGGTTCGAGTCCGCCCGGGGACAAAGCATTGTTTTTTCAATGTTTTTTCGATTTCAATCATTTCCAAATCAAGTGTGACGTTCATAATTACCAATTATTCAGATAATTTTACTTCCGAAAGCAAATAAGAACAAAAAGTTGCATCAAACACCGAACCATGGGGGGGAATTGATAAATTGGGTGAATGGGTTTTGTTTAACAGTCGCAAACTCTATGATGACATCCAGGATTGTGGAAAATCAGGACTTTAAGAAGTATCAATCACTTTAACGCCTTTTAACGCTCCAGCTACGGTAGAGTCGGATCGAGAGCTACAGAATGCAAGATTTCGACTCACAATTGAGCTCTTGGGCTAGCGTGCGCTCCAGATAAGCCTAATTATCCAAATTTTTAAGCTCTTAGCTATAATTTGGACAAGAGACTAGTCCAGCTACAGTATGTGGACCTGGTTCAAGGTCAGAACAGGGCAGGGAAGCCTTCTTGCCTATCCTAGTCTAGCTTGGGAAAGGTTTTGGAGCTCAGGCTTCTATCCCATTCTTCTATCCTCAGCTCTTAGCTATAATTTGGACAAGAGACTAGTCCAGCTACAGTATGTGGACCTGGTGCAAGATTTCGACTCACAATTGAGCTCTTAGGCTAGCGTGCGCTCCAGATAAGGCTAATTATCCAAATTTTTGGACTCTTTTCTCAAAAAAGTATCCCATTTTTCCAGATGGATGTTCATTTTGGAATGCTGGCGGCACAAGCCTGAGGAAAGGCCTGATTTCGAGGTATCTAGATTTGATTTTTTATCGATCTGGACATCACAGCTATGTTTTTTTTTCGAGATTCAGCTTTATTAGACATATCTCGTTTTCAGAAGTGTTCTGAGGTGCTTGAGGATCATTTGAAAAGAGCAAATCCAACAGTGAGTCTTAGAAAGGATTAAAATCCTGTAAATTTGCCCATTTGAAAAGCAGTAAAGCTGTCGGCAGTGCGCCAGAGAGCGCGCGTTTCCCGGAGAGCACTGAGAGACCGAGGGCTGGCTGGCTTAGGGCTGGCTTAGGGCTGGCTAAGAGAATTCTGAGACTTTATAGTAATTTCTCTTCGTTAAACGCTTGTGTGACTTCCAGATTGACCAAAATAATCAAAACGATCCCCTCCAAGCAGACCCATTGCACTTAAAAGGATGAGAACTCCATCGAACGAATCTGAAAACAGAATTCTAAACCTTCATGCTAATTTCTCTTTGCCGAAAGCTTGTGTGACTTCCAGATTGGCCAAAATAATCGAAACTATGATCTCTAAGCAATGGTATAGGGCCTAAAACGATGAGAACAGATTTAAAATGGTTCGAAGCAGAAAAAAGCGACGAAAATCCCCATCAAAGGGGTGTTTGGTTTTGATTTTTCATCGATCTGTTGCTCACAGCGGTTTTCTTTTCGATATTCAGCACTTATATTTCAGTTCTTGTCGTCGTTGAAGTCAACATTGGTTCGAGAGATGACAAAAATTCAAGCTCTTGCTCAATATCGATAAGGATTTTCTTTTCGGCTTTGAGGCTGTCCTTATAGCTCTATAGAGCTCTATAGCTTCTCTTGATTCAATTCAATTCTATTCTTTCTCTATTCTATTCGATTCTTTCGATTTCGATACATTGTCCAATGAAATATCATCTTTGAGCAAAAAAAAACGATCGTCACTTTCGCAGCTACAGTGACCTCCAGCTTGACCATTTCTCAGCAATTAATTGAATATCTTTAAGATCTGTAGGAGAAAAGCAGCCATTCTCAATCCACGGGTATCATTTGCCCATTGAATGAATATCCCGTTTCTCTTTCCACTCCAGCAGCTATAGTGACCTCCAGCTTGACCATTTCTCAGCAATTAATTGAATATCTTTAAGATCTGTAGGAGAAAAGCAGCCATTCTCAATCCACGGGTATCATTTGCCCATTGAATGAATATCCCGTTTCTCTTTCCACTCCAGCAGCTATAGTGACCTCCAGCTTGACCATTTCTCAGCAATTAATTGAATATCTTTAAGATCTGTAGGAGAAAAGCAGCCATTCTCAATCCATGGATATCATTGATCACTGAATATCTTTATCTAACCAAAAAATTTTGTGTGCGTTGTGTGCGTAATGGTCAAGCTGGAAGGCACACAACATTTTTGAATAGATAAAAAAATATTCAGTGGTCAAATGAGGTCCGCATGATATCCGTGGATTGAGAATGGCTGTTTTTCTCTTACAGATCTTAAAGATATTCAATTAATTGCTGATAAATGGCCAAGCTGGAGGTCACTGTAGCTGCTGGAGTGAAAAGACCGACGGGATATTCATTCAATGGTCAAATGATATCCGTGAATTGAGAATGGTTGCTTTTCCCTCATCAATCTTAAGATATTCAATTAATTCGCTGAAATCTGTTCGTGTGCGTTCCAGATCGAATGAATTTCAGCGAAATAACTGAATATCTTAAAATTGATAGGAGAAAAGCGGCCATTCTCAATCCACGGATATCATGCGGATCTCATTTGACCACTGAATATCTTTATCTATCCAAAAATGTTGTGTGCCTTCCAGCTTGACCGTTTTTCAGTGAAATAACTGAATATCTTCAAAATGATGAAAGAAAAGCAGCCATTCTCAATCCATTCTTATGCAAATCTCATTTGACCACTAAATGTCTTCTAATCTATCTAAAAATGTTGTGTGCCTTCCAGCTTGACCATGTAACTGTAAAGTGACGATCGTTTTTCAAATAAAATATGATATTTCATTGTGCAGTACTGTATAGGATTTAACTAAGTAACTTAACTCTGGAGCTGGAGCTAATAGAGCTCTGGAGTTGGAGCTACTAGAGCTCTGGAGCTCTGGAGCTCTGGAGCAGGAGCTACTAGAGCTCTGGAGCTCTGGAGCTCTGGAGCTGGAGCTCTGGATCTCTGAATCTCTGGAGCTGGAGCTACTAGAGCTCTGGGGCTCTAGAGCTGGAGCTACTAGAGCTCTGGAGCTCTGGAGCTGGAACTCTTTTCCCAATTTTCCCAATTTTCCCATTTTCCCCATTTTTCCCTCTTTGCGGGTTTTTTTTATAGAAATTTTATTGAAATTCACAATTTTTCACATAAATTAGCACCCTTTTTAAACAAAAAAAAAAAACAAAAAAAATAAAGCATTTTTGAGAGATTTTTTTTGAGCGCTTATCGACCAAATCTTTTCGTAAAAGGCACCACTTTTTGAAAAGGTTTCCAATTAAAAAAACTCCTGTAAAATGACCAGGAAACGGAAAGCTAACGATGGGAAAACGAAATTCTAACGAAAAAACGAAAAAACAAAAACTTCCCGCTCGACCCGGACTCGAACCATCGACCCTTCGACTGAGAGACCAGCTCGCTAGCCACTCGGCCACCCGGGAAATGACTTGTTTCAAGAATTTGAGAATTTCTAGAGAACATGTGACATCCAGGATTTGGGAAAATCTTTTTGAAAGCTTTGAATTTTCGTTTCATCAGGCTAAACGGCGCTCGTTAGAGATCGCCGCAAAATCTCTCGATCAGCTGGGAATTTTGGGAAAATAAAGTAATTTTCGTGAGTCCTGGATGTCATGTAACGGATTGGAATTGATAAAAGTCAAAAATTAGATAAGTTTCGGGTGGCCGAGTGGTTAGTGAGCTTGGCTACCAGTCGGATGGTCCGGGTTCGAGTCCGGTCAGTGCAAAAGGGGTCTTTCTTTTGAAAAAAATAGAATGGAGTTGGTTATTGGTGAAAAGATTAAACAAATTGCACAAAAACAGAGAGATTTTCCAAAATCACAATTTCAAAAACGAAAAAAAGTGAAATTTTGATGAAAAAATATGTAAATACCAGGGTTTCAATGAAATTGAATATTTTTTTTTGCTATAAAAGTGTCACTCCAGCGGCCCAGGCTAGCCAGAAATCGATTATATACGCGACGACGTTGATGAAGACCAAAATCTGCAAAGAGGTACGGTAGTCTAAGGACCAGTTAGAGGAATTTGACTGATTTCGTTTCTTTTTCGTATTGTGCATTCGATGTGCGTTCCAGATCGAATGAATTTCAGCGAAATAACTGAATATCTTAAAATTGATGGGAGAAAAGTAACCATTCTCAATCCACGGATATCATGTGGATCATTTGACCACTGAATATCTTTTTATCTATCTAAAAATGTTGTGTGCCTTCCAGCTTGACCATTTATCATTGATTAATTGAATATCTTTAAGTTCCATGGGAGAAAAACATGAGAATTGAGAATGGCTGCTTTTCTCTTACAGATCTTAAAGATATTCAATTAATTGTTGATAAATGGCCAAGCTGGAGGTCACTGTAGCTGCTGGAGTGGAAAGAGACCGAAGAGGTCATTCAGTGGTCAAATGATATCCGTGGATTGAGAATGGCTGCTTTTCTCCTATCATTTTAAAGATATTCAGTTATTTCGCTGAAATTTGGTCGAGCTGGGATGCACATCGAATGCACAATACGAAAAAGAAACGAAATCAGCGATATGGGATTTTGTCTAATCCTGCTACCAGGCTAAACTCACCGTCGCAATAATCCATTCCGGTCGATGACAGACGAGATTTAGATTCTTCCCGTCCGGCGGATAGCAGGCCGCAAAATACGCCTCAATGAAGCCGGCGACAAGGTAGCAGAAAGCCGCCGCCATCGAGATCAACGCATCCTGAAAAGAGTTTGGGTGAGCGGATCGCTTGCTGCTCATGCTCAGCACTCAAGCTCGTGCTCATCCCTCAAGCTGGATGTCACACGAGCTTTTAAGGCATCTAGTTTCACGAGTTTCTTTTAAACTCACAAATCTCCTCCACGCGGCCACCTTGTGCGCTAGACAGAAACTCGTCGCCAAAAGCGTTAGCGTTAGAATCGAAAATGTGGCCGTGATGCCGACGACGGCTCCCTGAAAAGCGAAAGAATGGAAAATGATAGAAAATGATTGAAAATGACACGAAATTCGGCATTTTTTGAGGTCGAAATGAGATCGAGTAAAAATAAAGAGATAGAGAAGAGCTAGAGGAAAATGGATGAAGCTATTGGCCAAGCTGGATGTCAGGCTATAATCGTACTGTAATAGAATTTGAGTAGGAAGGTTTTGAGATTCCACCTTTGTCGGCCTTGCCTAGTTTATCCTTTGGCGACCTTGCCATCTACTCCGGTTTCTTTTTATTTCAGCAGCTACTGTGACCTCCAGCTTGACCAATTCTTTCATCAAAACACGGAAATCAAGCCTAGCTTTTTCCCGAACCTGCCATTCTGTTTTTGTCCTTACAACAAACGCATGAAAACCGGGACTCGTCCGCATTGGTGACAGCACCAAGCCAAGAATTGCAGCACCGATTATCTAAATAGAAAGATGGAAATAAACAAGGCTTTGTTCTAGATGTTTCGATTAAATTCGCTCTTTCACTCACCAATTGCGCCGCTTTCAGCACCGCGCGAAAGATGATCGGATATTTCTCGGGTTTGTGCTTCCGCTTTGGCCTGCAAATAGTCCAATGACTTCCAGATCGGAGAAAAATCATCAACAAAATCCATCTCCTGCTCATTTTCCTCAAAAAATTCACCCAGCCCTGTTCTTCTTGATGTACTTTGAGCGTTCTTTGTGCTTACAGGTAAACGGGCACCCTCTGGCGCACGGGACTCTTCGATTTCTTGTAGAATCTTGCAAAATGTAGATCTCTTGTCGCCAAAAAAAGAAGGTTTCTGTGTGCCAGAAAGTGCGCGTTTACTAGGAAGCACAAAGTACACCAGAGTACTATATACGATATCGATTTTTATGCTTTTTATAGTTCTAAATAGCCAAAAATGTTGTGTGCGTTCCAGATTGAAGGAAAATCATCAAAAAATTCGATATCCTACTCATTTTCCTCAAAAAATCCACCCAGTCCTCTTTCTCGGTGATTTGCTTGCGTACTTTGTGCTTACAGGTAGTTCTAATAGGCTAAAAAGGTTGTGTGCGTTCCAGATGGAAAACTCCAAGTCGTCATTTTGATCCTTGTCAACTCACCGATGCATTGTCGATGGGGGATACGTTGTGTAGGACGGGGCATAGTAGGGTCGTATCCGTCGCATTGTCGTTGGCACACCTTGCTCGAGGTAAGGCTGAATCGGCTCTAGTTTCGTAGAAAAATAGAGTTTACCGGGTAAACAGGGCGCTGAAAGCCCATCCCATAGTCGATCGGGGCACCGGCGCCGAAATCGGTTTCCTGAATTCATTCTTGATCGTCTGATTTGTTTCTAGGTTACTTTGGAAGCTTATTTTCTCAGAGTCAGGTTTCTAAGGCCTGCAGGGGCTTGACTACAAGAGATCAGAGCTTCTAGAGCTCTAGAGATGGCTCTCTGGATCAAAAGGAACCCTCCAGCTCAATAGAAAACCCCCCAGCTCGCTTAAAAGCCTTTTCTCGAGAGGTCTCTAGATGAGCTGATGGCCTAGTGGATAAGTCGCTTGGATACAAATCCACCAACCCCTTTTTTGCTCGGGTTCGACTCCTCATCATGTC